CCTCCAGCCTTTCTCTGGCCTGGGCTCTGCAGTCATTTCTTGTCACTGCTGAACAATAGGCCTTGCTAGCAGCTGGCAGCTTGGCTGCCCTGCCTGGGGGAGGGGGCCAGGCGGGCTGTGGAGCTGGGGGGCTGGGGAGGCCAGCCTCCTGCTGGCTCCAGGGACAATGCCAACATTTGTGCCTCCCATCATGCACACGGTGGTGGCAGCCATACCAGAGCTCAAAGGATGACACCTTAGGGCAGCAGCTCTCCTTCCAGCCAGGAGCGTCTGTGAAATCCTGGAGGGCAGGACCCCATGGCCAGAAATGCTGGCAGGCCATCACCCCAACAGTGATTCCAGGGAGCAGGGAGAAGGGAAAACCATGCACACTGCCTCCTTGCTTCAAGAGAGGAAGTGACTGGTCTACCATCACGCAGGCAGGAGGAGAGGGTTCTAGTCCTGAAAAACTCTCCAAATGCCTGGTTCACTGCTGGCCCCACCAGGACCTCCTCCTTTTGTTCCTCAAGGCAATGCTGTAGGTGTGGGGAGGGGCCATGGCCCCTAGTGAGAGGTAATTTTCTTGCATTAGAACAGGCCATCTTCTCCCCTCATCCTGCTAGGTTATAAGAGCAGGGTGCAGCTAGCTCCTCAGGAGGCTCAGGCAGAAGGGTTGCTTGAGCTCAGGTGTTTGAGAACAGCCTGAGCAACATAGACCGTCTCAAAACCAAATAAAAATATTATTAAAAGCTTTTTAATTAGGGCTGGTGGAGTGGCTCAAGTGGTAGGATGTCTGCCTACCTAGTGTGAAGCCCTGAGTTCAAACCCCAGTACAGGCAAAAAACCAAAAAACAAAAAACTTTTTAATTTAGGGCTGAGAGTGTAGCTCAGTGGTAGACTGTTTGTCTAGCATCATGAGGTCCTAGTTCGGCTCTGCCACTTGACTGCTGTATACCCTTTGGGAAATTACTTAGCCTATCTGAGCCTAGACTCCCACCTCTGTAAAGCTGGGAGCTGGGGAGAGAGATCACACACACACACACACACACACACACACTGAGCAGTGTCAGCCCATGTGAGCACGCAGTAAGTGGTACCCTGGGGGCTATTACTCCTGATTGGGGATGATTCTCTTCCAAGAGGAAAAAAAGGATGTTAAAAGCGAGGATGGAGGAGGCAAGGGGACTCTGACATCCCAGACTACCTCACAAGAACAGAGCACAGTGTTCTCTGTAAATACATAGCCAACCACCGTGAATAAAAGCATGGCATTAGGAGGTCATGGTGCCCCCACCAAACACACTTTCAGCACTAAGGCTCCCCAGCTTTTGTGTTAAGGTTCCCCACCTAAAACACAGCCCTGAGAGTGACCAGGATTTTAGCCTTGCCCACCGTCATGGCTCTAGCCAATGTTTGTGGACTTGTTTTTTATAGTTCTACAACTGTTGTAGTGAATCCCCAGTGTTCCATGAGATCTGCTCAATTATCACCTCCACTTTACAGATGAGAAAGCAAGTCACAGTTAGGGTCAGGACCCTGCCCAAGGTTCCAGGCTGTTAATGATGGGACCAGGATTCAAACTAAGGCGCTCTGCTTGCAGAGCCAAACTCTGAACCCTGCGATTATAAATAAAGCAGGTTTGGCTGTAGACAATCATCACCTCTCCTCTTGTGGTCTCAGTTTTCACAACTATGAAATAGGCCCCTTGAATGGAAGACCCACCTCCAAAGCTCCGGATAGGTTTTGAGCTCTCTGAAGATGTCGCCTGATATGTGGCTTTCCTGACTGTTCTGCCCTTCTAGCCGTCGAACTCCTACCTCCAGCACTGCATTCATCTTTCCAGACGTACATGTCCCCAGTCAATGAACGCCCGTCCCATCTATGGTCAGACACTGTCTTATGTATTGAGTGGATTATATTTATCAGGGTGGGCAATCTTTTTCTGTAAAGGGCCAAATAGCAAATCTTCTGGATTTTGAGGGTCACGTGGCCTCAACTGCAACTGCTCAGCCCTTCCAGTGTGGTAGACGCCAGCCACAGGCAACACACAGATGAGCAAGTGTGAACATGGTCCAGGATCATTTTACTAACAAAACAGCCAGTGGCCAGGATTTGGTCCCATGGGCTACAATGTCTGGCAAAGATGAACATCACAGGGACACTGCTCTTAAGAACCACAGAAGGTGGCAGAGGAAACAGTGAACAGCTAACTTGAAGACATGGTAGGACTTAATAACGTATTTGCAGACAGGGCTGCAGGAGGTGGAGAAAGAGGCATTTGTTGAATTAAAAGAACATGCTAGACAAGGCACGGTTCTAGACAGGAGAGGACAGACGTAACGTTCCTAACTTGCACTTTTATTGCCCTGCCAACATTTTCAAAGGACTTTAGGGGCTATGGCTGCATCTTGTCCTCATAAGCACTGAGGCTGAATGATTTGCTAAAGTTGTATCAATAATTAATAGCAGATGTTCATGACCCCACACAGGAACCACTCTACTGAGCACGATGGGCCTTTCCAGCTGCCTGGTGAGGTCTCCACTGGACATCTGGAGAGGGCTTGTTCTGCTCTTCTGCCCCGTGGCAGTTTGCTAGGGCTGCAGTGACAAAGGACCCAACCTGTGTGTATTCAGCAACAGAAATCTGCTTCTCAGGTTAGAAGTCCAAGATCCAGGTGTCATCAGGGTAAGATCCTTTGTGGGTTGTAAGACTTTTCCAGGCCTCTCCTTTACCTCTGGCTGTCTTTGACTTAAATAAGCACCACCCTGACCTCTGCCTCCATCTTTACTCAGCCTCTCCCTGTATATAAATTGGCCTATGTCCAAATTTCTTTTTACAAGGATGCCAGTCATATTGGATTAGGGCCTATACTAATAGCCTCATTTTAACTCAAGTATTTCTCTAAAGACCCTGTTGCTAAATAGAAGTCACATTCTGAGGTCCTGAAATGTATCCCTTTTGGGGACACAATTCAACACATAGTCAACCCTGCTGCCATATTTCATCATTGATTGATTGGAATGTTCATTGGCCAATTCTGTCATATCTACCTGGATCCCATGTCTCCAAAGGTGGCCCAGGACCAAGGAAGGGGACCAAGATGTTTTCCTTCAGCCTCTGAAGATGGCAGAGAGGGTCCCCACGTGTATGAGCAGGAGCTCCTGGGGGTTGTGCAGCAACCTGGTGAGCTGCTGCTATTTCAGCACAGTAACCCTGGTGTCGGGGGTGTTAAGAGAAGCTACTGTGGCAGGAGCCCAGTTAGGAAGCAGGTGCAACAGTGAGAGGTGAGGAGGACAGAAGGCACAGGTCAAAGAAGAGGTGGTGGGGATGAGATTGTGGCCACAGAGAGAACAAAGCTAGGCCTAGGAGGCAGATCTTGAGTGTGGATAGGTGAGCGAGAGGCCAGCAGGACGGAGCTCAGCCCCATGGGGAAGAAGACAGATTGAGAAACGGGTGTGTGAGATGGCGAATTCTGGCAGATACTGGATTCCAGAGTTGGGAGGGGTTGGCCCCAAGCTTTGAGTCCTAAGTGGGTGACATCCCCTCTGGGAAGCACCAGGCAAAGGTCTCCGTGGTGTAGGTGGTTTAATGGTCACTTACAAGCTGCTCAGGTCAGAAAAAAAAAAACATGGACAAGCCTCTCTCATCTTTTAACTGTTTATTGTATAATATAAAACTACAAAAGTAAGACTGCTCATTTCCATGTACATTTAATCTGTCCAATTGTTTCGATTACAGCCCGAACCTACATTGAACACAGCCCTCTGGGTTCTGATGTGACGTCTGTAATATTGCATAGAAAAGGCACAGCTCTCAGGTCTGTGGGGAAAGGTCACACCTCCTTTCTGACAAAAAGCCCTCCTCAAAACCCATGCACCAAACTTATCACTATGTACAACTTTTTCAAACTCTTGGTTGTTTTACACATGGACTGCACTTCTCTTCCAAACTTGTTATCCCCAAAGGAACTCCAAAATTTTTATTTTATTTTGTCTGCAATAGCATTTGATCCTAGCTAATTTTCAAGAACCATTTAGACTTATTCTTGGAAGCATTGAAAACAACTGTACATAAGCAGGATGCACACCGAGCTGCCATCCAAGTGTGGGGTAGTTACAGAAGTTAGCCATTTACAGCTAGGACAGGCTAAACAGGCTCTTTTCCATACTTCTGAAAATGTATAAAGGTCCAATTCGTAACAGCAAGGTTTTGAAATTAAGACAATTCATATAGAGTAGAGTAATAATTGCTGCACAAAGTACAGTCTCTTTTTTCTTTTAATATCTGTCATTTAAGAAGGCTGCCCTTGTGGTATTCATAATTCATTGTTTACCACAAAGGTGGTTAATAAAATTTAAGCTTTAAAAACAATCTGTAAGTTGATACTTTGGCTCTCTGGAGCTTATGTAGTTAAGAAATTTTCCTTGATTGACCTCAGGGTAGTTGGGGCACTCCAAGGGGCTATGGCGACAGAAAGCTCAATCGTAAAGACACTGAGGGGTGCAGGAAGCTCTGGCCATTTCTCACCCTTTGGTATGAATGTGGGTGCCCATGTGGTTGCCCTTTTGTCATCAAGAGAAAGTGCTACTAAGAAAACTTTTAAAAATATCAACCCTTTGATGCTTGATTTTCTTAAAAATTTGGAGGTATTAAAACATTCCTCATCCATACCTTTTGCATATTTCAAATAGACCCATATTAGAGATGAGAGTAAAAATGAACATGGACTGTGAATCAATGAGAAGACCCGGGGGCAGGGGGTCTGGCTTGGACCCCCTTTTAATGCAGATTTACATTCCTATAAGAGAATACATTCCTACCATACATTCTGCACGTTACCATCCAGATGTTGTTCGAGCTCCACAGAAAAATAAATATATTTACACAGAAAAAAGGAATAAATAACTTATGGGAAAAAAAATCACTTCAAATTCAAAGCTCTTAGGATTCTGCTCTCATCTTGTCACTTCATTGCACATCACTGTCAATAATTGTCCTTTCCCAACCCAGCCCTGCCCAGCATGTCTTTCTTATAAAAGGCACCTCAAGCTGCCTGCCTTGCTCTGGGTGCCACAGGATATCTTTATAAAGGGAGGCACTGCTGCCAAGAGGCATCTGGAAGCACATCCCACACTCCAATGGGGACTCGGAGATCCCACTCCGGCTCCTACTCTTCTCTGTTGGGACATCACTTAGTAAAAATAGGACACAGACACTTTGATCTCTTGATGGCTTTGCTCTTTCTGAAAATGGGCCATTAGCTTCCCATGTATATCTTGTTAGACTTTGAGCATTAAGAATTTCAGCAGGAGTGTCAGAGTTGAAGAGCACTGGCCTGCTGTTGTTGGGGGTTTTTGTTTTAATTTTGAAGCCCAGCCTTACAAATACACTAGAGTCAGAGAACCAAGTTCGGGCAACACTTCTCTGCTTATTTGAACTGTTGCCCAACATATGGGATTTGTTTAAACACACGATTTGCTAATCCAACGAAAGTACAGTTGTTCTAACTTACTGTAAATCAGTTTTTGACAATGGCAAATCAACTGCTTTCTACCCCATTATTGTTCGGAATAATCAACACTATTGTAAGTACGTATGAAGAAGAGTGCAGCGTGTGGCCAGTTCACAGGGTCCTTCCGTTCTAAAACGCATGGATTCTGGGCTGACTTGTTTCTCTACAAGAAAGGGAAGCTCTTAAAATGGACAGGCACAGTGACATGGAAGCACCTTCAACAACCCTCACCTTAGTCACATGGTCCCTGGTCCTGTATCAAAGGAAATGACACAGCTACAGTGTCTGTGTGGAGGTTGCTTGTAGGAGAATGAGTGCAATTTGATCAGTTTCTCACTGCTCTAGGGAGCTGATAATTAGCCTTTAGAACACATTGAGTGGGAAAGTAAACTAGAATGCAGAAAGACAGCCTCATCATACACAAATCTTAGATGAGCAGCTCCTTCATCACAAACATATTTGCTTTGCCATGTGCATTATAAAAATAAAACTATGTATGGCTTGTTTAAAGTGCCATTTATAAAGTTGTCTTTTTTAACGGGCCAGAAAGACCCAGTTTTATCCATGGCAAGAAGTGAGCAGAACTGGTGACTGAATATTGACAAATGACCAACAACAAAGACAACAACAACAACAAAAAACAAAATCCCATAATTTAAAAATTTTTAAATAAATATAAAAGTTATTCCTAAAGAAGCCATCTGCATAACAATATAGGTTGTAACCTGCACTCAACAGCTAAAGTACCATTGAAAGAAAGAAAAAAACAGAAAGGCTATAAACAATCTCGGCGACAAGCACGATACATTGCAAAATGTTTTAAAATTAAATATACACCACTGGGAATAAAAAGCTACTTCTTAAAGGGGTCCTAGGGGTGAGGAGGCAAAACATGCATAGAAATTCCTGTCTGTGTATTTGGGTATAACAGCCTTGTAAAGTATAGTTAAATTAGCAGTTGATTAAAGAAAGCAACCAGACTGGACGCTGTGAAGTAAGGTGACAGACTCCAGGTTCTAGAGTCAGTTGTTGGAAGAGTGCATCCCAGGCCGGCAGCCAAGGTGAGCCGAGCTCACTGTGGAGGTCATGAAGATGCCATGTGCTGCTCTTAGCAACAGAGGGAACAAAAAAAAGGTCTAGGGAAGGGGCAATGGAAAAGGCAATCTAGCAACATGATGGATGCCTTCTGAGAATTTCTTCTTTACGAGCCCTAAGCATTGCAACTGGGCTCAGCTCCATGAAGAGCGTGGTTGCTTTTCATAAAATTTTGTTATGTAAAATTTTGGGTTCATCATAAAAATTATGCCAAAAAAGGAAAGATCTGAGTTTTCACTTAAAAAAAATAAAAACAATTAAAAGAGCAAACTTGGCATAAAAACATCCTTAAAGTAAGATGATAGCCTTCCCCTCAAAAGAGGGGGCTAAGGAGACCACCACTTCAATGCACAGCCCAGTCAATGCCATCCCACCAAGGATGAGCAGACCAGCTCAGGCTCTGGAAGTCACAGTACTGGCGGGCGTCTGTGCCACCAAGCCAGTGCTTGTAAAGTTTGGGTGTGATATCACCTGGCCCTTTCTTAAAGAGCTGAGTGAGTGTGTGTGGTGGTGTGTTTGCATCTGGGGACATCAACTGCAGATTGATTTGATCCAATTTTCTCTTGCACCATACACATATAAAACATTACAACTCTATAAAAGTACAAGTGCTACTTGTACATCTGAAGTTTGCAGGAACTATGTGAGCAAATCCTATCAAAATAGCTATCTCATATGTATAAACAGCATTTGTTTTTAGAAAAACAATATCATAAACTGCAGAATCTGTACAAAAATATAAAATAAATTTGGGCAGCAGTTTTCTAAACAGCCATGTAAATGCAACACTTACGAGGAGTAGTTAATGCCTCTAAAAAGGCTGAATTGCCAAGTCAACCTATACAGGGCGAAAATGCCAGAAAAGGTACTGAGATTATCTAAATAATATATATATTTTCTCTTTTGCCTCTTGCAATAAAACTCATAGAAAAAATAGACAAGTATGCACATGCAATTTACAGCTTTCCACCTTAATCCTTGTGCTTCCCATACACTGCCTGTCACTCAACGTCAGCAATATTGTCTTCAAATGTATTCCCTATCCCAGGGTAGTAGGTCTCTGAGGAACCACTCAAAAAGACATTAAAAGTGGTCATACGTGGATGAAGGCACTCCAACTCTGCTCAAAGCAAAAACTAGTGTGATCCTTTTGTAAAATTTTCTTTTTCTCTGCAAAAGGCAAGCAAGGGCGCATGCACAGTGTGGAGAATCATCAAGGTTGCAGGGATGCTCACAGGGTCTGGGCAGGCACAACTGCCGGGTCCCGGAGGCCTTAGGACCCAACAAGCACCTCCATGATGTGGTCCAGCTCTGTGAGGTCCATCTTGAAAGGCTGACTCGGGGTGACAGGTTGACTGCTGTAAGGAGCCAGAGTCTTGAGGAGGTCATCAGCAGACACAGGGGCCATTTTCGAAGCTGTCCCAGATGTGGATGTGCAGGGGTCAAAATCATACATGGAGGTGTCAATGTCGGCGAAGAGGATGTCGTCCAGGGTCAAGTCTGTTAGGAAGCCTGTGGATGTTGTTATTTCAAAATTCCCAGGCAGAGAGTCCATCAGTTTTGGGTCGTCTGTGCGGCTCTCCTGGGGCCCCTCAGGTTTCTGGATGCTGGACTCACTAGAGGTCCCTTTCAAGCTGTCAGCCGCTGCTGCTGCTGCTGTTGCGGCCTCTGTGGAGGTAGATGTGGGACAGAGCTCCTCGATCTCATCCAAGGCAGATGAGAAGCTGTCCTTTTCTGGAGGGAGGGCTGCAGGGGAGAGTCTGGCAGGAGCTGCGGGCTGTACAGCCTGAGAAGTGCAAAAAGTGTCATCGTCATCCTCGAGCAGTGAGGCAGGGGTGAGGCAGGCCTCCAGGGGCGTAGTGCTTCCGAGATCACAGGGGTGAGCAGAAGAGGACACAAGGTGGCTGAAGGCGGGTGGGGCCTCCCGATAGCTGTCGCTCAGTGAGTCGCTGGACTGGGAGGATGGGGTGAACACAGGCCTCAGGCTGCCTTCCTGCTTGAGTTCCTCCTGGATCCGCCTCAACATGTTGTTAATTAAAACAGTCTTCTGCAAGCTGGGCTCTGTCAGGGGCCTGTGGTTATAGAGTTTCATAAGGGAAATGTTGAAGATAGTCTGGCGCTGTAAGGTGTAAGACACCTTGGATGGACCGTCAGAGGGAGACACGATTTTGCCTTCCAGCCCATCTTCATGCTCATCAAACTTCCGTTTTCCTCCTTTACCCAACATATATCTGCAAAGGAGAAAGGCAGGAAATGGCATGAATCACACAAAGGCTAATTTCCACCATAAAAAAAGACACAGAGTTAGAGGTCAGGACTTGGACTTTATTTTCTTGCCCAGTCATTCAGAAGAGCAGATGGACTTACTGGAGGAAGACCTTTTAAAAGATGAGAGAATTGGGAAATCTACCTTCGGTATGCCTGTGGAGCAATTTTTATCACTAGGTAGTCTGGCGAATGTGTTTCTTGAGAAATGTGTACAACCCAGACAAGTTAGGAGTTACCATGGAAACCGTGATTTTGACTTTCTCAGCTCATGTGCTTGTGTTCGCATGCCTAACATTATCATGCAGGTTCAATTTCCCTCCCCCAACAGCATTCATTTTTAAAGCATAAGGAAACACTTACAATACTGTGACCTAAACAGAGAGAGGTGCCATCAGTTATGGCCTGAGCACATCTTGAACAATTAAAAGAACCCAGTTTCAGACAGGAGAACATGAACAATTTTGATAGAGCTGTGCATGTTTTCCAAATGCCTTTCCTTCCTCATTATGCACAAAACCTTCCTGCCTGTTTGGGTGAATGTGGTGAGGCACTTGGCCTGTGCTAAATGACCACAGAGACTGAGCTGCCACTGCTTTTCATCCTAAAATAAGTGCAGGAACACATGTTTCCCACCCTAAGTTTCTCCTTGGCTCAATTTCACTGCACAGGGCCATGTTTGAATGCAACTGCTTTAATTTTAAAGTAATTTGCTCTGATTATAAGCACTGCTGTTTGGGTATTTGAGATATTCAATAATGAAATACCTACTGTGACTCTAGAAATTCAAATGCACTTCAAAGGAACAAGGACCCCATGTCTCAGACCTTGAGATGTGATAATGCGTTGAATTTAAGATTCTTTAATGAATACTGGTCTTTAGCTGGCTGTCACCTTCTGGCCTCTCCATTGCTATACTATCATCACCTCCTCTCAGAACTTCTATCATCGAAACAGAAGGATCTCAGGCCAGTAGCCTCTGCTTCACAGACCTCAATCTCTAACCACTTAAGCCAGAAAATTCTGCTGTCCAGATCAGGAGGCATGGTTCTACCTCAGCCAGGCCTGTGCTTGCTCCAGAGCTCTCTCTTACAGCACTCACACCTGGGCACGTGCTAATCCTCTCCAAGTGTGACTCACTCCTGTGACATCTCCATAGATGTGCAATTGCTTGGTAGTTAGCTGATTTTTCTTTCATTAGCTTATTCTACATCGACACTGTCTAAGGCACTCTGCTGGGCACAGTGGGAATCCCCCATGAGCAAAGTTTGGTCTTTAAGAAGCTGACCATCTTCTCCCGCGTTTTTTGAATTTTGAGTCTCACCCTAAGAATAAGGCTAACAGGATATATACAGTTCACAGACAGAACTTCCTTCCAATACTTTGTTTAAAAGAAAGTCATGGTGCCCCTCAAAACAGACATACAGAGGCCACAGAGTCTGGTACACAATCTCACCTGGTGTGGACGACTGATTTCTGATGCCTCAGTCTCCAGAAGGGAGTGGTATAGACAGCTGCAACCTCTCCATGACAGCATTAGCTTGAGATCTGCTAATGCTTAGGAAGAATGTGTAGGAAACATTTTCCCTCATTTTGTAAGCATTAGCAAACTAGCTATCAATCCTAGGACCAAAGACCGGTCCTGTAATTAATGAAGGGCTAACAGAACAGCTGTCTTATGAAATGCTTCATGTGACAGATGTAGTTCCTACTGTTTAGTGCTAAAAGTCTCATTTGCATATCTACTTTGCATAGGACATTTCCTATCTGAAGTATCTGTGCTTTTAAGCTTGAGGGTGAATAAGAGTTAGGTTACTAGACAATTGGGTTTTTAAACACATAACTGTATTCCTAAGTATACTATCTGTATTCACTTACAATTTGAACAGTTAAATACTTCCAGAAAAATCTCACTTTTTCCAGAGCGGTTCTAAGTGCATTTAAATTGCATATAAAGCTGTTATCTGATCTATGTTTTTATAATGTGATCAGGCCACCATACTTAAATGTGTATGTGCGTACGCACACATTCATGCACATTCTAGAACAGTGTTTCTCACAGTGGGGCCAGTTTGTGAACTATTTCTAGACAAAATTAAGGTAAGTATAGATACATTATTTAGAAACTTTTACAGAAAATACAAAGTACCTATATTGTAAAACAGAAGTTTCTATCTTCTACATCTTTATATTTTTACCTTATTTTTAAAGTAATTATGTTGTGTTTTTATAAAGTTCGTGAAGGACTTGGGAGGAAAACCAAAACCAAGATGTCCCACTATCATAGAAAGTTTGAGAAGCACTGTTCCCCAAACCAAATACAAGGAAAAACAAATCAGGAAGTTCACAGCCATTTTGAAATTTTACTTGTGTTTCTAGAGGAAAGGTAATCTTGGGAAGAGGGTCTTTTAGCAACCAATGTAGGGCTATTTTTAAAGAATTATTTGCAGAATAAACAATCCTTTTTTTCCCATTCATTCATTCATATAAGACAGGGTCTCACTCTGTTACCCAAGCTGGTCTCCAACTCCTGGCTCATGACCCCTCCCACCTCAGTTGGGACTACAGTACAGTACCACCATGCCTGGCTCTCAGTACTTTTTCAGTAATACATTTCTCTAGAAATTGTCACCAAGTCAAAAGAACTCACATTATTTAAAAAGTGTCCAGGCCATACAATAATGTAAGCTATTTAGCAGAATTCCCATAGCTGAACAAGATCTGTGGAGATACTTTCAGAGAGGTTTCAACGTGAGAAGCACCTAATTTCCAATTAGAATGATCCAACTTGTCTGAGCTGTGTGATAATCCTAACGATTTAGGAAAAGCCTGCTAAGACATCCGTTATGCTGCCTGGAAGGGGAGGGTAGCAGGCTAGCATAAGCAAAGTCTGTGAGCAGGACCAGATACAGAAATTGAACCTTGGATGCTCTTCAAATGTGTAAATAAGGACCCCTGACAGAATGTGTCCCAAAGGCAGGCTTGCTTTCATTTCTGTTGTGTACTGAGGCAAACTGGCGCCACAATCCAGTACAAATGCAGAATGTACACAATCCTAATTTTTAATCTTACTTCTAGCTAAAGGAATAAAAATGCAATGTAATCAAATCTATTCCACATTTTTATTTAAAAGTGAAGTTTTACCAAAGTTTTAAAACATCACAGTAACATTACCCTTTGGTCAGGAGGGACCTCCAACTCCTGAAAGGGGCAAGGGAACAAGAACTCAGAACTCTCCAGTCTTTGTACTAACAACCACCTCATCAAGGAGGGCATAATTTACAGCAGAAAACATAAGATATGCCCTCAAGAATCAGAAGGCAAGAAGCCAGGCACTAGGGCCCCTCCAGGCCTGGCTCAGGCTAGCCACTGCTAGGGATACCAGCTCCTTAGAAGCCTCTTTTTTCCTCAGGCACTCAGAAAAAATAACAATGGCTCTTTAAGAGCTGTTGGAAAGGCACGTGACCTTCAAAAGGCCTCACGAGGCGAGGCAGCAACTTGCAGAAGGAGAAGTAGCAGGAGATCATTAAGAGCTTCCCAGGAAAACTAGGGAAGGAGGTTCCCTTGGGTTTCAGTGGAACATGGACTCTGGAGTTCACCCAAAAGAGAGGGTGGAGACTTATCCAGGCCACCCTAGCGTTTTGACACCCTACCTTGTCTCCTTCCTCGTGAAGGACCAAGCCCACAGTCCACCTCTTCTACCCAGTTTTTCAGACAAAGACTCCAGAGACTCCAAATTCCAGGGCTAGACTGGAGATTGCCACATGGAATCAGGTGGGTGCTCCTTCCCTCTTCTGTCACCCAAAGGGCCTCAAAATAACCACACAGTACCCTTCCTCCCCAATAAATTTGTTAGAAACGAATTTCTGGCATTCTGTATTTCTACAGATTTTTTTTTTTTTTGAGTTGCTGGAACTGGAACCCAGGGCTTATTCAGGCTAGGCAAGTGCTCTACCACTGATCTACACCTCAGCCCTGTCTATATTTTCAAAAATAGATTTTAGCAACTACTAACCACAGCATACTAAATTTTAAAGAATAAAACTCATTGGTAGCAAATAAATGAAAACTTTTCCAGGGAGATTAGTGAACAGAAATGCTCTGTGTGCCAGACCTGGCTTCAACTGTGAAGCTTTTCATTGAAAAGGCCCCGACCCTCAAAAGCTACAATCTGTTCGGGCAGATGTTCAAAGTAACAAATGTCACAGGAGTTTCCTCAGAAGACAAAGAACCAGAGGGCCAGGAGACTGTGTGAGCTGACTACAGGTTCTGCAATGTTGGTTTCTGAGCAGCTCCACAGGAGTGAGCAGCTCCACACGAGGGAGGGTGTAGCGGGGCAGGCTCTGGAAAATAGGCCTAGGTTTAAGGTAAGACTGTCTCCTAATAATTGTCTCTCACTTGTAGACAGTAAGGCCCATGAGGGCAAAGACTGCCTGTTTTGTATCTTCAGGATAGGGCAGTCCCTGGCATACAGAAGATGTCCTATTTATAGTGGCTAAATTAATGAACAGCAAGTGGAAAAAATGAGAAAGGACATAGAGGAACAGCAGAGAAGTGTAAAATAGAGACACGGGTACATGTGTGTCTCCAAGGGAAGGGAGAGCCACACAGACCTCAGAGTTGGTGGAGGTGGGGGTGACAGGTGGAGATGGGGGTGATGGGTGGGGAGGGGTGGGGGGGAGGGGGACGGGACGTGGCAGTAGAGCCTGAGACACAGAGGATGGGGCAAGAAGGCCCCCAGCTTGGAGAGTCCATTTGTGGGAGCCCCTCTCATTTATCAAATTTGGGCAAGCAGCACTTGGGGGGCCTGTTAAATGCAGACTGCAGGGCCCTATGCCCAGGAATCTGCATTTCCAACAAGTTGCAACTGATGCTGGTCTGGGGACCACTGGGAACCACAATTTCCTCCTTTCACATTAGGTCTTTTCACATGTAAGCCTGAGAACATCTTTACTCAATTTATCAT